AGGTGAAGTTATCTCATCTCTAATTTGGAGAATCTTCTATGACCCTTTTCTAACCAAGATCAGAAAGAGTATTAAACTTGACTACGAAATAGAAGTCTCCTGACAAAAAGACCTCAGAGAAAGGGTAAAAAAGATACAAAAAGTAAGACAAGCAGTAGTTGCCTTCGCAGATGATACAATATGAATAGCAAGTTCTAAAGAACAACTTGAAGAAACAATTCAAGTTGCTGAAGAATTCTTTAGGATTAATGTTATCCAAATAAATCTATTAAAATCTAAGCTCATTGCGATCAATGCAAAAACAAGGATAGAAGAATGTAAAATCTTAGTTAATAGACAAGAAGTATTTGCAACTAAAGAAAAGGAGGCAGTAAGATTTCTAGAGATTTGAATAAGTCAAAAAGTTGGGAAAAAACAAATAGTAGCTAAGGCAAAACAAATAGTTAGACTTTTTGCTAATACAATCAAAAAGAAAATAGTTTCAATAAGCCAAGTATTATATATAAACAATATATGTTTAATACCAAAACTAGAGTATATATTACAGAGCATATTTCTAACTAGAGATGAATGCGAAAAGATTCAGCGACCATATACAATGACTGCTAAAAATAAAATAGGCCTAGTAAGAACTATTCCAAACTTTCTAATGTCGTATAGTAGGATTTTAGGTATGCGAATGCTATGGAATGCTCTAAAGATTAAACAAATACTAAGTCTTATAAATAGGCTGAACAAGAACTGCGAAGTTAAAAAGATCACAGAGATAAGAATAAGACAAGGGCAACAAATTACTTGTTGCATGAGTGGTATCTGAACTGAAAAGCTAGATGAGACAGAATTAAAGTTGCTCAAAGACAATCTAGCTAGTCTAGTTATTCAAGACAACCTAGGCTTAGGCATAGAGATAATAGCTAACAGAAAATGTTGGTCTGCTAAAGCAAGCAGTACACTAATTAAAAACTTAATGAAAAAGAAACCTTCGTTAAAGCAGCAAGGATACTCTATGATCTAAATATAGTACTGCTAGAGCAAATATTAGATGTTGAAGGCTCCTATCTAATGATATGGTAGCGGCTTAAAATATCTAGAAAAAGATCGAAAAAAGGCAAAAAAGCAATATAGTTCAAGGAAGTAGAAGAAAGAGTCCTAATTAGTGAAGACAAGAGAGAAGTTAAAGAAGAATACAGAACAGGTATAAGAAATTATCTAGATATGCAAAACGTATTAGAAGAAGTCTTAGCTGACAAAAAAAAACATGAGTAGATTGTTTATGAAGATAAACAAAATAAGAGCAGGAAAATAGGATATGTGCAAAAGAAAAAAAAAGATAGCATATTAGTAGAGCATTGGGAAAATCAAGAAAATCTTGAAAGATATGAAGAGATTAAAAAATGTAAAGGTTGTTCAAATAACAAAGAAAGAGCACACGAAGAGTACAGAGTCTGGCAACCAAGAAAAAAGGTCCTAGGAGCAATTCCAAGAAACTGCATAAATAAGGATACAGGCCTTATAGACTTCTCACTAAGAGTAATAGATGCAAATTATTTCGAGGATCCAAGGACCCTAGTAAATGAACTAGTTTTTACTAGTCTGAGAACTTTGGAGGAGCGTGTGCTAGAGATAATAAAAGCACAGAATTTAGACCAAGAACTAGTAATAATGTTAAAAAAAAAAGTACATGAGATAATTCTAAAAAGAAAAAGAGAATTAGACTTCTATACAGATGGATCTTTAGATAAAGGTAAAGAGAAAGGAATCATGGGAGTAGGATGAGTAGGAATAGACAAAATAGATAGTAGTATAGTTAGTATAGGAAACTTTAGAGTTGTTAACTAGCTAATGTCAACTAAAGCAGAATTATTAGGAATTTGGATAGTATTATTATTAGCACAATGTAATACAACAGTTAGGGTTCTCACAGATAGTGAGTAAGTAATAGAGAATATAACAAAAATATGCAATATCGAACAATATAGCAAATGGATTAGAATGGATAACAGAATAATCCTAGAAAAAATAGCTACTCTTGTTAGGTAAAAAAATATTAAGCTCGAGCTTAAAAAAGTTAAAAGCTATGCGAATGATATAAAAAATAACGAAGCAGATCGATTAGCAAAAGAAGGAAGGAGATCATATATAACTTTAGATCTGAATAGAGTTAAAAGTGATAAATATATGTATGATATAGCATGGAAGTCAAATAGAATTAAGAGCTTAGTAAAACTTTTTTTAACAAAGCTAATAAGAAAATATAATGATACAGAGTGGGCCTTCCAAAGAAGAGATAATCCAATAGAAAATGCTAAGTACAATTGGAAAAAGCTATAGCAAAAGATCAAAAGACAAAGGGGAATAAATTGTCTTTTGATGAAAAATAGCAAAAGTTTGGCAATGCAAATTAAGTGTTTAACGAATAGTCTATCTACACTTAGTGAGCTTAAAAAATGCAAGCCTGAACTATATCCAAGAGATCATTGTATTCTATGTAATAAAGGATTATCTGAAGACCTAGATCACTTAATACAGTGCTCTGCCTTGTAAGAGTCCTAGGAAGAAATTGAAGAAGCTGTCCTAGTAGGTATTAGCAAGGTTCAAGTAGAAGAGAACCTCGGATTACTTTCTCTACTAGAAATTAAAGAGATTATCTTCTCAAAAGATAAAAAGAGCAGATACCAAAGAAGAATGTAGCTACTAATCGGACTTAAGGAATACAAGATAGCAGAAGACCTTCAGGTTTTAGCTCAGAAGAAGGATATATTAAAAGTTTAGTTAGATAGTATCTTCTTTATTATGCAAAGAAGCTTTGCAGAAATAATATAGAACTGACGATGTGAAAAAGTGATTGAATGGGAAAAGCAAAAAGAAATTATGACAAAGTATAAAAGAAATATAACCAAAGAAAAAGAAACTAAAGTGAGAACCCGAACAGATGAGGAAAGGAAAGTATTACTTGCGAGAAAAAAGGAGAGAGAAGAGAAAAAAAAATGGGTAGAATTAGTAGTAGAAAAAGGAGTTAAGGAAGGAATAAGAAGAGGAGAAGGAAGTTGGTAGAGTTTTCTTTGACTTAGTTAGACAAAATTGTTCTAGCTATAAGGCTAGTACAACAGGTCGCACCTAAGCACTCTAGTAGTAGCTAGGTGATATCAAGCTTAGGAAATTAAGTAGATTAGATAATCATATGTAACTTGGCTATGGCTATAGTTAACAACTTAATAAAGTTTTATGACGTGACTGTTAAAAGAAAAAAAAAAAAAAAAAAAAAAAAATAAATTGATACAAGACAAAGTATCAAAAGTTTCAATAATCCAAGAATAGATATTTATGTTACTACAAAATATTTTTGAAACAAGTTACAAAAACTATATTAGACTCTATTTTGGATAATAGCCTTTTAACAGATAGTATATAATTGCAAAGATAAATAGAATTAAACCAAATAAAATTTTTATTTTTTGTTTTTTGACTTTAATTTAATAGTTTATACTTATTCAGTTTTTTATTTTTTATTTTTTTAGATTAATATTTCTTTTTCTTGGCTCAAATTAATTCATTTGTAACTACCTAATTTTTTTGCATAGCTTTTTGAAACCATAAAAAAAGACAAGGTATATGAGTTTTATTAAACGTTTTTAAAAAATTTAAAAAGACAAATACCTTGTAAATTTGCCTAGTTTAAATTGTGATCTATGCGAATCGACACCTATTTTTGAACCAGAAATGCCACTTCACGTCAAAGTAAAACTTTTAGCGATTGATTGCTATGCCCTAAAACTTTCCTACGATCTAGTGCTAATATGGCGAAATTATTCTTATATTAGTACGTAGTCGTAAAATCACGTTAGCATTGAACTAAAAAAGATTATTCGATATTATTTAGTAATGATCTGCGTCATCATTATTAATAAATTGATTCTATTAAATTTGGTTAAGTTATTTTTGTTTAAAGTTTCAAAAAAATTTACTTACGTAGAAAAAATATAGTGCGTTTCTATTAACTTACCCCATATACTCTTATTAATAGCCTTAACCCTAAACCCTAATCTAACTAAAAAAAAAATCCTACATAAAATGCTCTAAAAATTTTTAAAATTTTATAATAAAATAGGTCCAAAATCTTATGTGCTCAAGTAAGCATAGCTATTTGAAGATTTTTCAAACTCATCTAAATATAATAGAACGGGAGCCGGTCAAAATCCCGACAAGGTCAAAATCCCGACAGATTAGCCTGCATTAGTTAGGATTAGCATAGTGTTAGTCGGGATTTTTGTTTGTCGGGATTCTGTTTGTCGGGATTTTGACCCAAACCCAATAGAACTATAATAAAATGTTGTTATATCAAATCTCTTTATTAGATAGAATTTATATAAATTACTTTGTTTAAAATATATCTTTAATAATTCAAATTCATTTTCTTTAAATAATTGATTATAAATGATATCCCCCATATCTTCTGGAACATTTCCATTATGGAAATTGTTCACGAACTCCCCACACTTAGATACAGGTCACTCTCGTTATAGTAAAATGATCGGGCTGAGAGATTTTCTTCACTATATTGAGAGTCCATTAGTAAATTCGTTAAATCAAGAGGGTTTTTATATAAACTGTTCTTCACTATAACGAGAGATTCACTATAACAAGAATTCACTATAACGAGAGTAACTTGTACAATCAAATTGGGAAGATCGCATTTCATATTTTCTATTTGATTTATTTAAGCAAAAATACCAACATTCTTACTATAAATTCACGTTTGGGTCTCTTCAAGTATATTCTAATTTATTAATATTCATTAGGTTTGTTCTAAGAGAACCATAAAGGTTCGCGTCCGTTTGTATGACATATTTTAGTGAGCAAAGCAGTGATAACAATTTATTTATCATAAATAAGCCAATAAAACAATTATCCATCTTTATCAGTTATCACGTGTGTAGATATAGATAATTAGGTACAACAGTACGTAGCGAAAATTTAGTTTGAACATATCTGATATTAAAATGGATCGTGAGTCTGATCTATTCAAAGTGGATCGCACACCTCCTCGTGAGCAAGAGCAAACGCATCCTGCACTTCAAAGTTTTGCTCAGCAACGACCATCAATCAACGCACATCCAATACCACAACTTCATATGACACCGCCCTTTCGACCACTTCTACCTTCCGGCTGGACTGAACATCGTGCTCCTAATGGACAGTTTTATTACTACAACGCTGCGACAGGTCAAAGTACCTGGGAAAGGCCGGCGATGGCTCCACCTCCCCCTCCCCTTGGCCCACCTCATATGAGCGGTGGTATAGTTTCGCATTCATTTCAGCAGATGCCTACAGTTATGTCATTACCGATTCAACAGCAAAACTTTCCGCTTCAACATCAAAAGGAACCTCCTAAAGAGAAAACAAAGAAGGAAAAGGCAAAAGTAAAGTTAGTATCTCTTAAATAATTTATTTTCTAATTTATTTTTTCTTCACAATATAACATCGTTATTCAGAAAACCAATTCCAGATACAAAGTGGTCCATTGTCACTACAACAGAAGGTAATGAGTTTTATTTCAATTCCGAAACAAAACAATCTGTATGGCAAGTTCCAGAGGAAATTGCGGATGCAGTTAAAACATTTAAAGAATCAGAAGAAAAGGAAGCTCAAGCATTACAAGATACTATTGGAGTCAAAAGAAAAGCAAATGATGAAGAGCAAATGACCGGTGAGGAGGTGAAGAGAGCTAAAGGAGGAGGCATAGAAAATGCAGAAAATGAAGGAACAGAGTATGCTCTCTTTCATTATATATATATATATATATATATATTTATTTATTAATTTTTCATTTGATCTTAATTTTAGATTAACTGAGGAAGATATTGCCTTTCAACTTCAATTTATGGAAGAACAAGAACGGCAAGAACTATTGTCTACAACTGGTAGTGGCGATTCAGGTGATAATGATAATTTTGCCATGCATGAGATAGGTGATGAGGACTCTCAGGCGCAAATTAAAGATAAAGACAAAGAATTAGAACTTTCGCCTGAAGAACGTATGCTAATGTTCAAAGTAAGAATAATAAGTATGGTGTATTTTTAACATTTATATATTTTATATAGTTAATGTTCATTATCATTTTCAACATTCATTTATTTTACTATTTATATAGGCTCTTTTGAGGGATATGGATGTATCACCATTTGCGATGTGGGAAAAAGAATTGCCAAGGATTATACATGATCCAAGATATACATGTAAGTTATAATTGTTTGTATGTATTTTTATTTCCTTCTTTTTTCTTTATTCGATCGTAATTTGCATTAGCCAACATATTTCTATTTACTTCATAAATTTCCCATAGTAATTACAACATTGAAACAGCGAAAGGAAATTTTTGATGAATATTGCAAAGAACGAGTTGTGGAATTAAGGGCTGAAAAAAGCAATAAAGCAAAAGTAATATATCTTTAAACTATTTATTGCTCTTTTAGATATGTGTTTAACATTTAATATCGCCCTCACAGAATTTAACTGCCAAAGAAGAGTATTTGGGACTTCTTGAAGAGGAAACATCTCACCGTTCTCATTGGGATTCCTTTAGAAAAAGTTTTAAAAGAGATCCGAGATTCAAAAATTTCTCGGATGATAAAGAAAGGGAAAGGGTATTCCGTAAGCATATCCATGAATTGAAAGAGATGGAAGCAGAACGTATGAATTATCATAAAATTATATTATGCATATATATGAATTGACAGTCGATAACATGTTATTAACTAAATTTATTCTAGGTAAGAGAATACAACAAAAAAAGGCACAGGAAGATTTCATGAAACTTTTGAGAGAAATAAGAGAAATAAAGCCTGATTCTAGTTGGCGCAAGGTATTAATTTATTCTGATCATTTAAATTTAAGTTCAATATATGCATTAATGCTCATATATTACAGGTAAAGCGCTTGATTGATGATGATCCACGATATATTGCAGTTCAATCATCAAGCTTAAGGGAGGAATTGTTTAGAGAATATTGTCAAAAGCTCGAGGCTGAAGATGAAGAAGAAATGGCAAGGAAAGAGAATGAACGGAAGCAACGGGAGCGGAAAGAAAGGTATTTATTATGATCTTATGTTTATATTATTGTTTTAGGAAAAATTTGGTTTTATTTATATTTATATTATGTCAAGAGAAGAGACAAGTTTAAAGAATAGAGAAGCCCAAGTGAGAAGTGAGAGGCGATATCAGAATTATGATAGGAATTCTGCAAAGAGAAAAGCGATGCGTGAAAAGTCTATTCTTGCATTCCAAACGCTTTTAATTGACTTAGTGCGGACTCATGAGGTGTGTAAAAAATTTTTGTTCATATTTAAAATTAGCTGTATACTTTTCTAATATTCATTTGTGATATAAGACCACATGGGACGGCAAGAAACATAGTTTAGAACAAGATCCACGCTTCCACGGTGAAGGACTCGAAGATAATGATAGAGAACGTCTTTTTAATGATCATGTTGATGATATATACCAAAAACGCCTAAAATTATATCATCAACTTCTCAGTCAACATGTAAAACTAGATACCACTTGGATTGAGATTCAACCAATTATTAAAGAAGATCCACGTGCAGTGCGTCTTTCAAAGAATGAGACTCTGTTAGAAGAGTTATTTGATAAATACTTGGCTAGAGAGATTGAAAAGGCTAAAAGAGAATTTTTAGAACTCTTGAAAGAAAATCAATTCATAGAATATAGGACACGCATGGTTCAATTATCAGAGAACGGCGCAAAAGACGAAACAGGTGCAGAAAAAGAGAAAGCTCGTGGGTTGACTAAAGAAGAAGTTCATGATGTGCTCAAGGTAATTTTTTTTATAAAAAAAATTTTTTTCATCCTTTAAAATAACATTTTTTTTAAATAAAAATATTACTGTTAATTATGCTTTTATAGGAGGATAATCGATATTTGGTTTTAAACCATATGCCCGAAGTCCGTGATGAATTAATCGCGGAATATATGAATAATTTTGAAGCTCCAAAAATGACTGTGCATCAAGGGCGTGATTGATTTTCTGATTAATTTTAGTGGGTCTCATACAGGTGATGATTATGATTCTTTTTCACTTTCATATTGATATTTTGTCTAATTGTCTTGCATTTTAAGTTCACGAATGTTTATTTAAAAAAAAGTGATGTATCTACGATTATTTTATATTTTGTAATAAAGTGTTTTTTTTTTATTTTTCTGCAATAATTAAATAGACTAATTAAAAAAATATTTCATTTATTGGAATCTATAAATAATTAGTTATGTTAATTATTAAACATCCTATGTTATATACTTCTTAATTAGTACTTTATGGTGAATTTATTATAATAATTATTAATGGAAAGCTATTGTATATATATTTTATTATTAGAAACTGCCTCTTATATTCTTAATTAAATTGATTTTTTTATACTAAAAATTCAAGTTTGAAACAGTTTAAGGAATAAGATAAAGATAAAATTGTATTTTCTATATAATTTTAAGAATATGAAACCTGAAATCCGAAATTAAATTTTAAAAATGGGCTTATTTAGTATTTAACTTCATTGATCGCTAAATATATTTTATCATTTTTCAATTCATATCAAAATAGAATACATTAATCATTAAATTTAATTCAGGAACACCATTCTACTTTAAAAATATGAAAAAAAAAACCGATCACGAACAATCAACCAATAAAATTAAAAAAGCTTTTGATCAATCACTATATGTATATATATATAAGACAATTTATAGTCAATTTTTTATAATAATCATGTTAGTATATGTAGGAAATACGGTAGAGTTTACTATGGTTTTTTAAATTTTTCGTTCAATTTAGAGACAACAGCAGATGACTTTATAATATAATTATATATTAATATCTACATTATTATATTTATTTTTTAACGTTAAGCAACTTTTTAATAATACAGTAATGCACGACGTAAGAACGTGTCTATAAACCTAGTTCTATATAAAATTTAGCTTAGAACATGATCTATGTTGGAATTAATTTGCTAAATTATCAGGATCCACATAAATACAGATCAATTCAATAGCTATCTTCAGGAATTAATTATTTTTCATTTGTTAGAAAACCTATAAAATAGAATAAATTTTAAATTTTTGGATTAATTGTTAATGCTAAAAAATTTAAATTAGCTAAAAAAAATTGATTAAATACCGAAATTTGGAAAAATTTGGAAAAATTTATTTCCAAATTTCTCTGTGTCCTTGCTCTGGGTTATGGTTGTAAATATCGGTTCTTGAGCTGGCAAGTTAACTGGTTTATTTTCAAGTTCTTTATCTAATTTTCTCCATAAATTTAAAATATCTGCAGTTTGATCATTTGGGCACAATGATAAAGCATATCCCATAAGTGTCATTTGTTGTTCTAAATCTTGATAATCTTCCTGTTTGGCAACCTCATAACATATTCTCCAAGCTACGTCATTTGCTGACATTAGTTCTGCATCTTTATTGTCACTTTTGTCATCACTTGCAATAAACTTGATAACATTCACTAAATCGATACAGGTATTGTATGCAATAGTAAAATTGTTGTCATGTAATGCGGCATCTGCGAGCATGGCCATTACTCTGACTTCCGCAACTTTGTCGTTTTGATAACCGAGCTTCTTTGCAAGCTTTATAATTGACCTTGAGTCGTGGTATGCATCTTCATATGTGCTCAATAGACGAGCTATAAAATCCAGTCGATTTGACGAAAGGCGTATTTGCAGTGGATGCATTGGTACTCCAGGTTGATAGCAAATTTTCTTTTCTGACAATATGTGTGTTGCCTCAATGAATTCAAGCTCCGATTTTATAGTATCTGATATCGGTAATATTTGGAGACTATAGATGGAATTATTATTATTATTAATTTCAAATATAATATTGCTACTAACACAACGATGTGACCATTTTTCAAAGAAATACTGAATATAAGCTGGAATAAATGATTAAACTTGGTCATATACCCTGTAATAAAAAAAAAAAAAAAAAAAAAAAGTACCATTCATATGCCATCTTCATGTAACCATGATTCATGTTTCCTGAGGTAGCGTTATCGAAAAATTCTCTGGATGCATCAATAATTAGTTTTTCTGCAGTATCCATTTCTAAAGGACGGGATCCATCAGTTGTTAAGAGGATTTCACGCGCCAAATTGAATTCTATAAATTAAAAAGGTTATGGGTAATCTATTAAAATATTTTTGGCTTTTCTCTCAAAAGTTATTAGTGAAATTTGAATAATATAATTGTAATATTATATCAAAGGATACTTCCGCAGCTCAGAAGTCCAGATATGAAATCTTTATAAATTTCTTCAACGGATATTTTTCCTAAGACACCTCTACCATCTCCTTGCAACTTTTTCATTTCTTCTAGTAATAGGATCCATTCACTTTCATTATCAAAGTGCCCCACATCATATTCAGAATTATTATTCGCCCTTCGTGATAATTGAATACATAATTGTTTTTGTAGAGTATAGTTTTTTGCACTTTGAAGGAACCACCATAAGGGTATTGTGTTATTATAAGGTTTGAGAACCTTTGCCGCGTTTAAATGAATTTCAAGGGATTGAATAATTTTCTGAAGTTGTTTTTCGTTTTTTGTTTTAAATATAGGTAAAAAATCATGAGGAGTATACTTTTGCGATGAGCCGATATCGATATAGATAGCATCAGTTTCTAAGGAGTCCGAGTCAAAAATTGGAAGACATTCAGAAATGCGTTTTTGAATATCCAAATCATTTGTGCTTGTCTTTCCGTATAAACAAGCAAGTGCCACCCTGGCCAAATCCTCATCAGATGTTATAATGCGTTCCTCAGCTAGTAATGTTGGCTTAGAGGCCTCGAAAAGTAGATAACACCAATCCAAATTAGTCAATGAAAGATCTAATATATATTTGTATAATAAATCGGTTGGATGTAAATATTTATTATTATTATCGGGATACTCGGATTTCCGCGCACGGCGTTCAGGTAACATATTTAGAAATGGCATTATATAATGTCTAACATCATTTACAATGCGTGACTCGTCAGTATGTCGTAAGAAAGTTTGAATAATTTCTTCTTCTGTCAGAGATTCAAATTCATCCAGCGTCATGATTATTCCGTCATCTAATGATGGATAGCAGTTATAAACAAGTTGTGACAACATGTGAAGATCCTCTTCCAAAGTTTCTAAATTTTTTACATTTTTTTTGATACCGTAGCGGACAAGGGATAGAGCTTTATCCACTTGTCCTGAAGAATTGTCAATCTTATGCGCACGATCAACATACCATTGTGTTATGTAAGAAGCTGAAACAGGATATGGAACCGATTTCATTAAAATGCCATCAAAGTCCCATTCCTCTGGTTCCTCCTGTAGTATTTGTTTCTTTAATATAGGATTCTCAACCCAATCATAATCTCTCCATGGTTCTTGATGCCATAAGCATTCCGAAAGTTCATCTCCGTCATTTGATCCAACTCTTGGTAAGAAAGATTCATATTCATCAGGATCAGCGGTCTCAGGAATTTGTTCAAGAATGGTAAATCGGTATGGCAACATTTCGTTTCCATGTCGTGTAAACAGAATATTCAGACCATTAAAGAACTCATCTGCCGCAAAATCCATTGCTTGCGCGGCGATATGCACATCACGAAATATTGCAAAATCCTCTGCAAATGTCGTATTATAATCTATAAATGTGATCCAATTGCCGTTTTCTTCAGATGAGTCCATGGAACCATTTTCAATATCTCGCCTCGTTTTCTCTTCCACAATTCTTTCATATGTACATAACCTATCTAAATATTTTAAGAAATAATATCGGCATCGGCAGAAGATTTTTTGTTTCTCTGATAATTCAAAGTTATTCAAGAATTTTTCAATATTTGAATCTACTTCTAGAGGATGTTCTCGCAATTTTTTATTGATCAAATTATCTGTGGCGGAGAGATTATTATTCTTTAAAATCTCATCTAAAATATCTGTATGGTCCAATCCGTAACATAGCAAAAGTCGAATGATATGAGGATTTTTGGTTATTCTTTCAAAACAAGCGGATATAACCCATTCTTTGTCATGAATTTTATCGAGATAATCATGGATAGCTGTTTCAGAAACTTCTGCATCTTTCCAACGTGCTTGATATATTATATCTGTGTCAAGGTTATAGGTTTTGGCGATTACCAACGCATCGTCGTATTCAAGAGCGTTAATTTTGCGGTTAAGTAAATCCTGAGGCAGAATTTTGGAGATGCGATTAAGGCGAAATGTCCTTTTTTGATATCGTGATAAATCTACCACGTATAGTTGATGAATCATTTTCAAAATGCCACAAAAATGTATCCGTTACATAATGTAAAGAATTTGCAATAGCAGATACCAATCTACTCATTTGTGAAGTGGAATCATCGAAATCGTCATCTTCCATTTCGTCTTCTTCCTGTGCTCTTGAATATGATATTATGTTATCGCCATGAACACGAGCTCTAATTGATTTAACTTCATGTTCAATAACTAAAAAACAGTTATTAGATTGACAAGTGATCTCACGGCAAGATTTAAAAGTTTCGGGAGAGTCGCCTAATATATTATGCATATCCGGGAGACTGGCAATAATAACCGAACCATTTTGAAAGCCTAGGATAAAAGCATTATTTGTCCACCATCCTATTGACAAAATCTTTCCATTTTCCAATCCAGGGACTTCAGATATATCACTACCATCATTCTCGATTTCAAAGATTTCATCTTGAAATTTTTCAAAAGACAATTTTTGATATTCTTTTCCCCTAGCAAAGTAATTTAGATGGGATTGATCCCATGACTGATCAATTACAACCCCTTTAGACATAGATATTTTCCAAAGGCTGACAGTTCCTGAAAAATCCAATGTTAATAAATATCGTTTATCCGGTGATGGGATCATGCTGTGAACAATTTCATCAGTGAAACTTTTGTTCACTTTACGCCAAGTTGCAAACACATTTTTTAATCGAGAAAAAAATCCGGGATCATCAACGACACCTTGGTCTAAATCTGATATATCATCGATAGATTCGTCTACTATCCCTTCTAACTCGAGTTTACGATAAAAAGGACGATCTGGTAATAACAACCAACATACAACTGAAGGCGAAGTCATTTCATCTTCATTTTTATTATTAGGCTTCCCACCTAGACAAAGTAATAATCCGTTCAAGTAATTACAGCACCGCAAACAACTGTAGAAAGCCATTGTTTAAAAGAAAATTTGTGATAAAAAGAAAAGAATCCTGGATCAGAAACTCCTTCTCGTGAATAAGTAATGTTAACTTTCGCTCGTCGTGATATAGTTTCATTGTCATTCAAAGTAGTAACAGATTCAATAGTATTTAGCAAATAACTGCGAAGAACACTATCATAAGTGACAACGATCAACTCATATTGGTAAACATGACCTTCATAATATAATGGTTTATTTGATCTAAGTTTAGGATCTACAAAGGATATAAAAGCCACTGGTTCAAGAAAAAAGCTTTGACCACCTTGAGTATCCTTTTCCATATCAGAATTTATATTAGAGCTAGAAATAATTATGCAAACCAATTGTCCATCTTCATTTATGATTTCGATTGTCCCATCGCTTCTTGTAGCTGCTATAATTTTAGAATCTAAGCTCCAAACAAGACGTCTCCATTTAGGAAAGGCGTCTCGCTTTGAATTATAAATTGCATGATTCTTTTCAAACCCACTTTCACTAGTTCGAATTTCAATTCTGTGTTCTTGTAAAACTGCAAGGTATTTCCCGTTTGGTGACAGTTGCATTAGCCACTCACTAGTTACTTTAGGACGTTCATGTAAAAGTGCTGGTGGAACTGTTGTAGAAATTATAAGTCCTTCTAGACTACGTTTCAAACGGTGAGTGACTTGTTTGAAAACACGTCTTGGGAATTGCGCGTAAGACGGATCTTCATTGGTGCCAGTATATGTGTTGACCCGAGAATCAGGATCATGATCTGCTAACTCATCGTCAGGCTTCCAAATAACAGCTACATCGATATCATAAAGTATTCGTTCTGAATGATTTCCAGTTATCAAAAGGTCTGACATCTCTCAATTTTAATCGCATTATATAACGAAGATATTAAATAGGATAATCAGATAAATTGACGTTTGGTCATATTACACAAAATTTTACTATTACCGTTACAGTATTATAATTTGCTCAATTGTGGCTTGGCAAAATATTATTGGCTAATAAAGTACGAACCAACCCTGTGATTTCTGCGGTGACAAAAAAACCCTCTCAAGACAGTCCATTTACCCAATATCACATAGGGTGACAATTTAGCATTTAGTTAGCTACAGGTATATTTTATTAGTAAATTTTCACCTCATGTGTTCCAAATTTGTGTGCTGTATTAAAAATTTTAACAGCTCCTGGCGAAGAAGATTTCGCGTTTATATATGTTTTTGTTAATTTGATAGGATGAGAGAGGATGGGATAGGATCAGTGTTAACATTCAAAAAGGCGTAGAAAAGCTAAATTATTTTTTAATATCAAAATTTTATTGAATGTCCTCGAATAGAGAACACAGCTCTTTTCTCTTACACGAATAAATTCAAACTAGATTATTTGTTGGCCTTCCTAACATTTTTTACAAGTACTCTGATCTGAATTTGTGCACCTGCTTTCTGGACATTTACAGGTTGTTTTTTTTTGGCATCGAATTTTTTACCGACCTGATAAATTGATAATTAAAATTAAAGACTAGAATGAAGAATTTTGCAATTAACCGTATTTTACGGTATAAAATACCCACATGTTGCAAATTTTTTTACGCATAAAAAATTAAAATATCACGATTAACATGCGTCACTTCCATATATAAACAACATTCAGAGAGGAGATTTATACTATTTGGCACGAAAGGTACTTTATTCTGTAAAGTACGGTACTTCTAAATCCCAAATATATTGTTGGACTATTAAAGTGACTTAGGACATTCTCATTCACCTTACTCAATAGATCTGAGGTAAAATTTAAATTAGTCGGAATTATAGGAAGTATTATCAAACCGACGAAAGAAACACCACCTAGCCGACGAAAAAGAATGATTAAAAAAGCACCACTACTAGGACGACAAAAAAAGCACCACC